ACTAGTAGCACCTTGGAGAAATAATTATCTTTGTATATGTCAGTCACCAAAACATCATGCACATCCATTGTGCTATGCAGATTCAGCTCCATGCTCATTCATTCATAAGATCTCTCCCCCTCCTCCCATTGTTTATTCAGGGGGCCCAAATCTAGCCCTGAAACATATGCCTTTGACAGTCAGCCTCAGTCTTAACCAGCAGCATTTCCTACTTCAGCAGTCCTAGGACCTCCTGACACAAGCAGTTGTCAGTACACGTCAAGCCTGGCATTAGAGCACCTCTCTCCTCTTCCCCCCAGTTCAGCTCTGTCTGTGTACTCCTGTCCAGACCCTTCCGATCCCCACTGGTCTGCCCTGGATGGTGGGCTTCCCATGCAGCTCTGCTGATGTATCCTAATCCTAACCCCTGCATTTCCAATACAAGCCTCTCCTAAACACAGAGGCTACATCTACACTGGCCCCTTTTCCGGAAGGGGCATGTAAATTTCACCAGTCGTAGTAGGGATTCAAAGTAGGAATAAGAGCCTCCGGAAAAGGGCGCTTTTTCCGGAGGATCGGGGCCAGTGTAGACGCTCTTTTCCGGCTTTTTTAAAAGCCGGAAAAAAGCGGCGGACATTTTTATTTAAATGCCGCGGGGGATATTTAAATCCCCCGCGCATTTCCCTACTATGACTGGTGAAATTTACATGCCCCTTCCGGAAAAGGGGCCAGTGTAGACGAGCCCAGATTGTCCTGCCAGATTATAAAGTAATTTTTGATGTGAACAAATATCCATTTAGCAACAGACCCAATTGAAATCTACCATTGTTGCAATCATGTGTAGGACAGAGCCCCAATGCAACCTGTTCTATATTTCCATAGTGACAAAGCCAGGGAGTTTCTGGGGGATTCTCAGCCTTCATTAGAACACGGCTTCTCAGGACAAATTTTTGGTGGCCTCAGACTGCAAAGACAGATTAAGCCCTAGATGGAGGTCGGAGAAGACAGCAAGGGCCCAGGGCGATAGGGGTGGGGTAGGTGGCTGGAGGAGGCAGCAGGGAGCCATATCTTGAAGCCCATAACTGGGGAAAGGAACGCAAAGTTATGTGGCCAGAATCTAGGGCACCTCCACTACACAGCTGAGCCTGGGACTGGAGACCAAAGACCCATGGCCAGAGCTCACTGCCTGAGCCCACTGCCGGTGGGAAACTCACCAGCTGCAGCCCTAGCAAGAAGTACCACATCAGTGAATCTAGGCACACCAGAGAGAGGGAGAGGCTGCTGCTTTGCCCCACCTCCAAATCACAGCCCAGGAGGCTGTGGCTGCAAGAAAAGGCCCTGATGGTTTCATGCTGCTATGGTAGCTGCATTTGAGAGACTACATTAAAGTATCTTCTCCAGGAACTTAGGAGTTCCTGTAATGGATCAGATGATCTGCACTCAACCTCCACCTGGTCCACCTAGTCCCATAACATGTGTCCAACATCTGCCAGTAGCTGAAGCTTCAGCAGAAGGTGTGAAATCCCTGTGATTTGCATGCAAATGGGCAATACTATGACAATAGGGTAGTGGAGATTTTCCTTCGTGACCCCACATCTTACACACAAAAGCATGGTGATCAATCGCCCTTGTCATTTTTCATCTGGCTACATCATTGCAGATACTGTTCTTACTATCGTCCAGCTCTCGGTGAAACAAGCACTCATCTTAGGGAAGAAATGGTTTTGGTCCTGCGTTTTGTTCAGTTTCTTCTTTCTGTGCTCTCCTTGTCCCCAAAGGATCCTGGATTTCCGGAGAATTCCCCCAGTGGCTGGCCGGTTAGTGAATATAACCAAGGAGGTTCGTGATATCACAACTGACAAGAAACTGGCTAAAACCTTCTTCATTTCCCCAGGTAAGTGTTCTGTGTGCGTGCACCCATCAGAAGCTCCCTGGCTGGGCTGCTGAGGGATGAACTGCAACCCCAGTGAACACATCTTCCCGCCCCACTTGCCACTGCCCAACCTGGATGTGATTAAGGAATGATCTGCAGTGTCTCCGGGTGCAAATCACCTGCCTGAGTGTTCTGGAGCTGCTCCAGATTATCTGCCTGGGTTCTATGTTTCCCTCCAATCCAGATTATCTGCTTGGTTGCTCCATCTCACTACCTTCCCATGAATCCCATCTTCCCTTGGACTTACTTGCCTGGCTGCCTCTTTTCCAAGATACAGGACTTCTCAGCTAATTTATCCAGTGGACATGTCTTCTCCCACATCTCCCTGATCTCCTGCCAGCTGTGTATTTCAATCTGTGGGTGTGACAGTGGGATCCGAGCTATGTGCTTGCTGCGTCCCAGCCATAATGGCACCCATTTAAGTTAATTAGAGCAGACCTGCTTTATTTTAAGATAGATCTATTTGGTGGTTTTTTTGCTTTTTTAAAAAAAGGGGGTGCTGGTACTCCAGGGGAAAAGTTGTTCAGATCTGACTGGAGGTGCTGGTACTGCGTACCGGGCAGTAGCATCACAAAAAAAGCACTGGATCTATTGAGGTATAAAATTACTGTCCATGCTCTGCAGGTGAGCTTTCCTCAGCCCATGTGCCATCTCACCAGACCTACTCCTTGGGTAGGTCATGAGGCTGCTCTTTGCTGACCTTTGCTCTTTCCTCGCTGCCTCTCCACAGCCAACAATGTCTGCTTCTTCGGCGAATGCTCCTACTATTGCTCCACGGAGCATGCCTTGTGTGGCAAACCCGACCAGCTCGAGGGCTCCATGGCAGCTCTTCTGCCTGACAAGGAGCTAGCCAAACGCCACTCCTGGCGCAGCCCTTGGAGACGCTCATACCACAAGAGCAAGAAGGCAGAGTGAGTATGTTGGGAGGGAAGGTTGGGGGTGTAGGTGGTGTGGGGGCTGCAGGAGCGGTGTGGCAGGAGGACAGCAAGACTGACAGCTGTGTGGGGAAGAGGAAGTGTCTGTGGGGGGAAGGTGGTACAGACAGAGGTAAGGCATTGGGTCAGGGATGCAAGCTGAAGGTGGTGGTGTTCCCTACAGCATGGCCATGCATGAGAGGAAACATCTACTATAAACTGTCCTTTCAAATCCAAGGATGGGGGTAGGGGTTGAGAAGGCAAGAAAAGCCCAAATGATGAAAAGGAGTCATGCAGAGTTTCTATGATGCTCCCCTCACCTCCAACCCCCCTGGAACCTAGGAGAACACCCTGTGATTTCCCCCTTTGGCCTCTCTTCTAAGCTGGGAGCTGAATCAGAATTATTGCACTGAGGTGAGAAAGACACCGCCTTACGACAGCGGCTCCCGCCTGCTCGACCTCATAGACATGACTGTGCTTGACTTCCTGATGGGTGAGTGTGTGCCCCTCTCCTGGCAGGAGGAGCCCTCAACCTGCCCCATGCTCTCTTAGGCCTAGGCCTACAGATCTGCTCACTTGTGACACACCTGTACCTGCAAGGAGGTTTGCATAGGTGTTTGGGATATCTGAGGGTGTGCATAGATATTTGTATTGACAGACAGTGCCTGTAAATAGTACGGGGAGGGGGAAAAGTCAGGGCAGCTGTCTTCAGCAATGTTACTGAACAAGCTCAGTCTGTGGGAGCCATGCTCAGTACAAGCCAAGCAGCAAATCTGAGAGGGCAGATGACCTTGCATGTCACGTCTTTTGTTATTTATAGATCAGTCAAAACTCATTAGGCATTGAAGGGCCCCTCCTGGGGAAATCTCCGCCTCTCTGCCTGCTTTCCCAAACTATCCCTCCACAGCTGTGGCCTGTCAGTGTTATTGCATGAGTCCCTTGCTCTGCCCTCTCTTGGCTGCACTTCAGTATTGCTTTTCACACCACCTAAGTTATTTCCATCCTTACACTATAATTGTAACCTTTAACTTTCAGAATTTTGTTTTAATTCTGTTTTAAATCAAATGAACTCTGGACTTTACGCTCTCCCCCATCCTCAGCACTCCTGTTACATATTATGCTTTCTCAACTAGCAACAAAAAGCTGTTTCCTTCTTGATGGTTATAACCACCACTGGCATCATAATGACCTGCCCTAGATCACTAAGGCTTAGGTGATTGTTTTGGAGGATGAAGCCCAGCTTATCAAGGATTCCAGAGTAACTTTCACAACAGTGGGTATAATATTGCCCTTTAATGTGCTTCCTTATTGACCAAACTACAGCATTCTTGGTCTACACTCTGTTGAGAGAGCTACATTCCTTTTAGTAAAGGTGCCTTTTTATCTTATCTGGGCCAAGGTTTGCACCTGCACACATCTAACTTCCGCATCCTGCTTTGCTCTATGGGCTAGCATTTTCTATATCTGTTTCTGCATCCTCCTGGCAGGAGTCAATGGCTCACCCTCTCGAACACTGACAACAAGCCACAATTCCCTTTACAAAGATAATAGAAATAGTAACAACTAATGAAAATAGCTGTGCTGAAATTATCCCATTCTTGAGCTGCTGGGGCCCTGGGAACTCCTTAAATCGAGGCAATAAGGCTTGATAGCATCTATGAGCTTTGTGTTCATCTGCCTTTTACCATCCCACAATAGGCACTCAAAGCAGCTAGTGTTATGGTGCCATCTATTGGGAAAGAAGAGGGTAAAAATATGGTTAAATCTGCTGGGATAGTAGGCACAGAGGCTGTGTCTACACTGGCACCCCTTTCCGGAAAAGGGACGCTAATGAGACCAGTCGGAATTGCAAATGCCGCGGGGGATTTAAATATCCCCCGCGGCATTTGCATGAACATGGCTGCCGCTTTTTTCCGGCTCGGGGTTTTG